TAGAAAATTTTGAATTCTGTGCAATCATTGAGCAAGTTTCCTTATTTTGGCTAACAAATGTCAAATTATTTTGATCAGAATCATGGATATTATCGTAAACAATGGGCTAATGTCATTTGTACATGTGTGCACGTGTGTAGTAGTACACGTTTATGCTGAAGCTGCTGGTTGAGGATTTACTTATTTATTCCATTAGATTTTATTGAACTTTGCAAATCAAATGGCTTTTGAAACGTATAGTTTGTGCCTCTGCACGTGTCCTTATATTCAACTCCCTCATCTCCTTATTCTGTCTTCTCATTCTTCTTTTCCCTACTCTCTCTCCTTTTCTGTTGTGCTCAACTTCTTCCTTCTTTTATGATATAAAAGCCCTGTCTAAATCCATTACTGTGCTCAAAAGTCATCATTAGCCAATTCCATGAGTTTCTGTCTTGTTGAAATTTGAAAATAGCTTTCAAACACTTTTGGATGTTTCATCTTCATTGCACACTTTTTTGAGTTTCCTGGAGGTAGAGGTGGCAAAATGAGTGGGATGGGCAGAATTTGCTTGGGTTTAAGATGGAACCGAGTTATATGGGTTTGGGGTCAACCTTACCCATATATGTTTTGGGACTAACTTGGGCGGGAGCACTTTGGGATGGGTTTAGATTAATCCCGCCCAATACCCAAATCTATTTTCTACATATTTTGTTCATTTAATTTATTTTTTATTTTTTATATAATTTTAATATTTTTGATTTATTAAATTTCTTTTAGTTTTATTAAATAAACATGCAAGTGCTTTATACTCAGGATTATCACCAAAAATTGGATTAACAAATAAAGGAAAAGATAGATATACAATCATGACTATAAAAATTGTTAAAGATAATTTTTGAATCTAAGACTCCGTTTGGATTGGCTATTTTTTCAAAAAATAAGTTTTTCAAATACAATGTTACAGTAATATACAATAACTCAAAAAACATCCCATCCATATTAGTATATCAAATATTTAAAAAAAAAATTTATAGTAAAAATTTTTCATATACACTACTACAATAAAATATTTCAAAAACACCCCCCAAAAATAGTTAATCCAAACGGAGCCCTTGCTATTTGAGCCCAATGGGTGCCCAAGCATTTTCCAAAATTTCCCATCAATTAATGGGTACAATTGGGATTTGTCCCATTTTAAACCCAATATCAAATTCCAATACCCATCCCGCCCAAAGTCTCAATAGCATGGGTAATCTATTGGGACTTGGGACAAATTGCCACCTCTACCTGGAGGAATGCTTATGTTAATAATTGAAGTATAAATTCATCTTTGGACTTACATTGAGATCAAAGCTGAACTATACTTTTAAAGAAATGAAAAGATGATTTTGGTTGAACACGGCAAACTGAGCTACTGAAATTTGGTTGCAAAATTTGAAAAAAGAAATGTCCGAATACTCTATCCTTAGCTCTCATATTCAAGTTCTTTTTGCCTGTATGCAGTGACAGAGCTAGAATTTTTTTTTTTGGGGCCAAAATTTTTTCCTAATAAAATTATCTTAATATATTATGTTCAAAATAATTTTCTTCTATTTAAATATATGACATCTAAAAATATCAAATATGAAATTTAATTATAAAGGTATGTCTATTCATAAATATGCGGTAAACTAACAAAAAAAATAACTTTTGATTAAATATCTTATAACATCACAAACCATCCAATTTGCACATTATGAGAAGATACTCTCCAATATGTCACATGTGCAATATATATATATGTATATATATATATATATATATAACCATGTAATATAAATGTAACTATTTTCAATTGAAAAAAGATAAAAGTTATGTTACTTTGAAATTTCAACATCTTTTCTTAGAAGTAAATTGCGTTCTACGCTCTTTCATAGAACTAAATCCATCTATGATTGAATCACTGCTAAATTTTTCAGCAACTTCCTTTTCTATATACACAGTTAGACAATCATTCAAGAAATTATCTTCCATCTTGTTTCGGAGCTTTGTCTTGATTATTTTCATAATTGAAAATGCCCGCTCTGTAGTTGCAATTGATATAGGAAGAGTAAGAACAAGTCTAATCAATCTGTCAATAAGAGGACATATCACTGATTTTCTTATCTTCATCAAACCTTGACATAACTCATGAATACCAGATAATTCTTGCAATTCATGAAAATTTGGAATGCCAAGCTCAAAATGTTGAAGTTCTATTCTTAGACGTACTAGTTCTTGCTCCATAAAATCATTCGGATAGAACTTCTCTGCAAGTTTACAAATATAATCAATCTTGATCAGCATAAATCCATTTCTAGGGTCTAAAGCAGTGCTCAAAACAAGCAATTCCACGGTATGATCATTAAACCTGCTATATAACTCTTGCAATTGATAATCAATTGTTGCAAGAAATATATCCACTCGATGACTAATTCATATATATATATATATTAACTCTTATAATATAAACTAAAAATTGTAAAAATTTAGAGGGGTTCAATTTTATTTTACACACATATTTACATATTGTGAATTAAAATTTTCAAAACTTAGGGGGGGCCATGGCCCCCCTCTGCCCCCTTTGGCTCCATCATTGCCTGTATGACTTTATAGCACATATGATGCATTCCAAACCATCTACGTACGAAATTAGCAACTCCGCCTCTAGTCAATCATCTTAGGAGCTGACTTATAGAAACCAATGTGATGATGGCCATGTTTTTGCTACCCATATACAGTTTAAACCTTGTCAAACTCCTTGGGCCTATGAATTATGTTCATTCCGTAAGCCTCTTGATGATCGTCCCCACCTTGGAGCATGGTAGAAAATAAAAACTTGAAACATGGAAGTGCTGTTTTTCATGTTTCACAAAGCATTAAGATGTTTTTGCTACTAAATTAAGTTTTAGTAGCTCTGTAGCTGAATTTATCGATGTTCGCGATCTCAACTCCCACAAAAATAGGATGATGTTTTGGCCTTCGTTTCCCTACTTAAACACATTGACCTCTGTTGTCCCCTTTGAGCCTTTAAACTTGATAATTCATTTCACGTTAAAATTCCTGCTGATCACACCTCACACTGGAGTTAATTTTTTTAGGGTGATTTCATGGAAGTTAGAGTACTTAAATTGTGATTTTTTATGAAATCAAGGATTGCAAGAATGTTGAGTTCCAATGCTCGAGTTTGAGATGTTTACTTCTCAAAAAAGAAAAACAAAAGAAAGAAGGAAAACAAAAGGAAAGAAAGAAGGAAAGCAAGGAGAATTGAGAGAAGCTCAAATATCAATAGTTTAGTTCCCAAAAAAGGACAAAAGAACTGAGAGATATTGAGAAGAGGCTCACATCCCAGAATCAAGAAGCCTCATGGTGTAAAGAGAGCAAGTCAAATTTTTGAAGAAACAGCTGGACAGCCCAAAAGTTTCACTTGGGCGGCAACTTATGCAGAAGTGGTCACAGGTTCTAATCCTTAAAAAAAAAAATTTATCTTTTGGCCTTTACTATCTTATTCTTTGCTTAAACCCACTCCAGGCATACATTACGATCTAATAAAGGTCCAAATGCTGACTAATTTTGGATGACGAGGAACAATAGTCTTTCACCACTGACGCAGCTAAGAGAATTTGGTCACAGCTGTTTTAAGGTGATCTCAAGATGATTTAACCTGAAAAATCAAAACTTTGAGCTTTAGTATCCCTTCTTTTTCAGCCCTTTACCTTACAACCAGAACAAAAATCAATCTGATTGGTTTCTTTAATGTGCTCATAAGATGATTGTGAGCTGAAAATGGAAAGTTGGAGCATTGATATCCCATCCTTTTCAGCACTATAGCCAAGACCCTCTTACAATCAGAGTGAAATTCCATGTGATTGGTTTCTTTATGGCCAGTCAATTTGAGAAGGTGTTCCTTTTCTAAACACCATCCTAAAGCCTCGAGAGAGTAGAGAGCCTCATAACAGTTTGTCATATTCCATTAAGATCATCTTTATCTTATTTACGTGGATAACATACTTTTAATTATTAATCAAAGCATTCATCCTAGAATTTCTAAGCACATAGGAAGTGATATTGTGTTCTCCAAGTCATCTACCAAAGAATTATTGCGCAGGCCCTCACCTATTTTTTATTTTTTCCTTTTACAACAACATTGTGTATCAGGAGAAATAAACTTGAGAACCTAGATGCAAATGGTGTTTGTTACCTATTTGGAAAGGACTGAGTAATGGATTAGGACTGTTCACAACTTCTTTCACTGATAGTTCTTTGTTCTTCAATTTTTTACATGGGAAATACCAAATAAAATAAAATAAAATTTGGGGTGCTTAAAAATGGTTTCATGGTTTTGGAATATTCTTGTTACTTCTTTGGTACAAGGGAGGGAAAGGAGTTTAGCATAAGTGGAAGGAGCTGGCCATATGTTTTATGGTCAAAAAGGCAAGAGAATGGCTGTGGGGCTGTGATCAATTTGGTTGCATGTATAAATCTACATTCAGTTTTTCTTTTATTTTTGGTAGATGATCTACTTATTTGGTCAAGTCCTTTTTAGTTTGGAATTTTGCTATACCCTAATTTATGTTTTCTTTGTTTTTTCTTGTTTCCATTATGTTGGTTTGATTGAGAACATACAAAGTGCAACCTAATGCTTTGGCTTGTAATATTATTTAATTAAGCCATACTCTTCAACCTATATAGTAAAAGCACGAAAGGATTCAGGGGTTGTGCTGATGTGGCTGCATTTCATTCGCTGGGGGGTCGTCGTCCATCACGTGGGGCTCGCGTGCTTTCGCTGGGAGGAGAATTCAGATTCTTGCTTTTGTCCGCTGGGAGGAGAAGTGCAATTCCTGTTTTTTGTCCGAGAGACGAAAATGAAGACCAGCTGACTTGCTGAGCTCAATGTGGCTCAATGTGCTGACCTGCTGAGACAAAAGTGATGGGCTCAATGTGGATTTCCATGGTTTTACGATTTTGCCCTTCTTTTTAAAAAACAGATGCACCGTTGTTTGTTGCTGAGCTCAACCTATTATCCACTGGATCCAATCTAAGACGTGCAGTAGCAGAGAAAATCACATCAATTGAAGGTTGGTTAGTGGCTCGAGGATTACTACCATCAAATTCTTATCTTCTTCCTCCTCTGATTTCTATATGATTGCGAATAGGGCTTGGTAAACACTCTCCATACCTGTCACTTGCTTTCTTCTCTTATCAAACTCAACGGCGGACCAACAATTCTTCCATGCCTCTCCGATTTTTTCTGTATTGTTTTCTCTAAAAATTAAGGTCAACAACAGCCACAGATGACCTTCAATTTTCTAGCTTTTGTTTCTGATCTTTTTAGATGAGATGAGCTACAAATAACTTGTAGATTTACTCAACTTTTCTCTGTTCTTCCAATAGTCTTTATTTGCTTAAAAATTAATAAAGCTTGGTTTAATATCTCTGTTAGTCAATTATTTTCTTAGCGATAAGAACTTTGATCTTCTAATCTTTATATCTTAAGATTTTTTATTTTATTTTATGTCTCTTATGTTTTATTTATCCGATTTCCTAATTTTTATAGTATTATCTTTGCAGGAAAAAGATGAAAACTTTTATGGGATGCAAATGCAAGTACTTGTGGATATATTCCATCCTTTTCTGTCCTCCAAAGGTCTATTCTGCTTTATTTATCTATTGATTTATTTGTTTATTTATTTTTTGCCGATAAAAACTTTGTCCTTTTAATTTCGGTCTCTACTCTCAAATCACTTGAAGTTTTTATTTTGTCTTTTATTTTATTGGATTATACTATTATTTTTATAGAAAGGAAGATGAATTTATTAGGTTTTAGCTAAAAAATAGGCATGAACATCAATGTTTTCCTCTGTAAACATTTTTTCTGGTGCTGTTTGACAGAAAGTATGAGTTATAGTGGTTTCTTAAAGCATTCTAGAAGCATTTAATCCCTAAAACACCTATGCATTCTAGAGCCCCTGTTGTAGAAACACTGATTGCTTCTTTTCTTGGCGCACATTCATCTGTGATTTTTCCCGTCTTTTTACTTCGTTTATACTTTCATATTACAATTTGCATTTTTACAGAGTGAGGAAGAAAAGGAAGAACAACCTCTGTGGTAGGAAACTTTTTAGCCCACAAGTTTTTTGCTCTGGTTTGTTTCCCTTTTCAATTTGTGACCTTCCCTCTTTCCCTCTATGACAGAAATTTGTGGAGGATGGCAAAAAATTGTGGTAAAACTCCTGCTCCTATTTTTTTCACTGTACTTTGGGCCTTTTGTTTTTAGATTTTAATATTCTTCTCTTAAATACTAGCTTTGAGTGAATCCTTTTACCTGTCAAAATGAAATCTACCAAAATTATATCAAGTGCATCTGTTAAATCAGAAGCTAAATGATAAATAACATTAACTAATATGGAACAAAAGGGTTGAGGTTAAGACTTTTCACTTTCACTTTTACAGAGAAGTTTAAAGATTTTCTAAAGAAACCTCTAAGATGGTTCAGGAATCATTTTTTGCTCAGTTAAAAGTTGAATCCTTTTGTTCTTTTCTTGTTTTTTCACTGAATATGGGACCTGGTCTTCATGCAATTTCTGTCTCTGCATCTTTTAGGACAAGTCAATATTTCTAAAGTAGTATATGTTTGAGAGTAAGACTAGAGAGATGATTGTCTACACAACCGAGGGTACTTTGCCATTGCAATTTCTCAGGGATAAATTTTTCCCCATCAGATTTTTATCTCTGACCTTTTCTTTCTTCTTTTTCTGGTATCCACTACAGGAAGAAGCAATCTTTATTTGTGGTCCAAGAATAAACAAATGGTGAAGATAGCCTTTAAGTAGGTGTTTGTTCACCTTTTATTGTTTTTTTTTTCCACAAACGTTAACCGTTATATATATATGATAAACCCTTGATAGTACAAGAATTAATTACAAAAAGGGGCTACTACCCTCATTTGCTTCCTCACTAAATCCATCAGCCAAACTGGGAAGTCTTGTTCCCATTCAATATCATCCACTAGCTGTACAGCAAACTTAGCTAGAGCATGGCTGATTTCATTCTCTGTTCTAGGTATAAACACAAAACTACACCTTTCAAAATGTGTTGTCAAATCCTGCACATCTTCCAGAATAGTTGCAATGTTAACAACATACTCATTGCCTCTATGTATCTGGTCTAAAACTGATTTGCTATCAGAATGGATTTTAATTTTAGTCCATCCTTGCTGCTTAGCCATCAGCATTGCATTTCTAATTGCCAAAGCTTCTTCCTTCATTGGTTCCCCCTTATATTGATTGACTATTGCCTTTGCTTTCATGATCATTCCGTTCCACTTTCTTGCAACAATTCCTTGTCCCGTCCTTATCATCCTTGCTGATATCGCAACATCCGTGAACAGGCAAACGTCATCATCCCTTGCTGCTTGTCTTCTCGTTTGATGCTCCCTGATGTTGTTCGTAGCACTCTGCTCTATTTCTTCCATCTTTGTTTGCTCATATTCCAACCGTTCCACTTGTGCCTTTGAGACAATATTCGGTGGGTTCTGGAAATCATTGTCAAAAACTCTTCTGTTGCGAGTTTTCCAGATTTGCCAAAACAGGTTGATGGTGAGACTCACTCGCTCAGGTCCACAGTCCTCTGACGCAGATTGAATGGCTTCCTCCCACCATAACCACAGATTGTGTTGTTTATCCACTAATCCATCCCACCTTACCGGTGCCAATTTCCAAACATCCATCACATTCACACAAAAAAAGAGTAAATGTTCTATGGTTTCCATGCCTTCACCACAATAGCTACATCTCCCCTCTCCTAGTCCAATCCTTTTGAAAATTACTTCATTTGTTGGTAAACAATTTTGCAAGCATTTCCACATGAAATGTTTCAGCTTGGCCTTTACCTTTTGATGCCACAGATTCTTCCACACCGTGCGTTTTCTAACTTCCCAACTTGTCTCAGCATTGTGTGTTCGATTTCTACTGATCTGATTTTCCTCCTGCCTTGCCATTGCATATCCTGTTTTCACCGTATATGCTCCAATCTTTGAAAATTTCCAGATCAGTTTGTCCTTTCTCCTTCCTATGCTAGTGGGAATACGTTCAATGAGCTCTACCTCTTTGTTTCCAAACCATGTCTGCAAAATTTCTGTTTTCCATCTCCCATCTTCAATCAACTCACTCACCCAAGTGAGGTTGCACCCCTCAGGTTTTGCAGTTTCCACCTTGCCATCTTCGGACCCTATTAACCATTTATCATTCCAGATACTTACTGTTCTTCCATCACCTATCCTTTTCCATAATCCATCAAACAACAATTTTTTTGCACTATGTATACTTTTCCAGCTCCATGAAGCAGAGCCAGGAGGACTTTTGTTCATCCAATTGGGATCCTTCATGTATTTCGCCTTCATCACCTTGCTTACTAACAAATTTGGAGCAGTTAGAAATCTCCAAATTTGTTTTGCAAGCAAGGCAGTGTTAAAGGCTTCTAGGTCCCTGAATCCAATACCTCCTCTTCCCTTTACTTCTGAAAGTTTCTTCCAGCTTGCCCAATGAATACTTGCCTCTCTTTCTCCTTTACTCCACCAAAACTTTGCAATTTTCCTAGTAATATCTCTACATAATCCCTTTGGGAGCCTGAAGCATGCCATTACATATGTTGGCATGGCCATTGTCACCGCCTTTATCAGCACTTCCTTTCCCCCTTCACTTAAAAGCCTTTGTTTCCATCCTTGTAACTTGCTACTGATTTTGTTCTTAACAAAGCCAAACACTTGTGCCTTTGATCTTCCAATGGCCATTGGTAAACCCAAATATGTCCCATTTACTGCTTCCTTCATATTATCCAGGCCTTCGCTAATTGCTTGCTTCATCCTTTCTTTGGTGTTTTTACTGAAGAACAAGGCTGATTTTTCGAAATTCACAACCTGACCAGATGCATTGCCATACTTTGTCAAAATGCTTTTCACCTTTAGAGCTTCTCGTTTGGTTGCTTTACAGCACAAAAGAGAGTCATCTGCAAAAAATAAGTGAGAAATAACCGGACTGTCCCTACAAATTTTCACACCCGTTAGCTCCTTTTCTTGCACAGCTTTATGAATAATACTAGAAAGACCTTCAGCACATATGATGAAAATATAGGGTGATAAAGGGTCCCCTTGCCTAATGCCTCTAGTAGGTTTGACATATCCAACCTTCTGGCCATTTAAATTGAAGGAATAAATCACAGTGGAAAGACAAGCCATAATCCATTTGACAAAAATTGGACAAAAACCCATTTTCAAGATCATTCTCCCCACAAAAATCCATTCTACCCTATCATACGCTTTTGACATGTCTAACTTAATAGCCATGTAGCCAGTAGCTCCTTTTCTCTTATTCTTCAGGAAATGCATAACTTCATGAGCTACTACTACATTATCCAAAATTTGTCTCCCTGGTATAAATGCAGATTGAGAATTGCTAATGCAGAGTTGGAGAACAAGCTTCAAACGGTTTGCAATAATTTTAGAGATAATCTTATAAAGCACATTACACAAACTGATTGGCCTATAATGTAAAACAGAAGTTGGAGATTCTATCTTTGGGATTAAGGAAATGATGGTTTCATTCACAGTCTTAAGCAAGCAACCAGAATGGAAAAAACTATTTATGGCTGACACCAAATCCCCTTTTATAATATGCCAATATTGTTGGAAAAAAAGTGGGGAAATACCATCCTGACCTGGTGCTTTGTTTGGATGCATAGAAAACAAGGCTTGTCTGATGTCCTTTTCCTCCACAGGTTTAATCAGTTTCTCATTCATCTGTCGAGAAATAGTGCATGGGATTTCATTAAGGATCTCTTCAAAATCAGCTGGGTTGGTTGTAGTAAAAAGATCCTTGTAATATTGACTAAGCTCCACTTCAATTTCCTCCTCAGTTTTGCACCAGGTCCCATCTTGTTTTTCCAACGTACTGATAGTGTTTCTTCTCCTCTTTGCCTTTACAGTTGTATGGAAATAAGCTGTGTTTCTATCTCCTTCCTTGAGCCATTTGCTCCGTGATTTTTGGCTCCAATACAGCTCTTCCTCCTCATATGCTTTGCTTAGCTGGTTTTTAATCTCAGTCACCCGACTTTTAATCCCAGATTCATGTCCCTCCTTCACTTGCTTGAGTTTCTCCTTTAATTCCTTAATCTTTACTTTTGAGTTTCCTTGAACCTTTCTCCTCCATTCCAGGATTGCTACCCTAACTGCCTTTATCTTCCTCACCATTTTGTACATTCTAGATCCAGATTGTACTGTCCTCCATGCCCCTTGTATCACCTCCTTCATTTCTGGATTTGTAGTCCATCTTTGATCGAAATAGAATCTTCTCTTCTTCCTGGTTGGCTCAGGATTTGTATCTACCGGCAAGATGGCATGATCCGAAGCATCATTTTCAATATGAGTACACACCACCCTATCAAACCATTGCAACCATTCAACACTACATAAACCCTATCCAATCTCTCTTTTATTACTCCCTCCCCCTCCCAATAATTACTCCAGGTCCAAGGTAAACCTTTATAGCCTATATCTAATAATCCATTGTCTCCTATGAAACTATTGAAATCCTTGAAACTACTCTCAGCTCTCACCCTCCCACCCCACTTCTCCCCATTTGACTGTAAATCATTAAAATCACCAACCAGTAACCATGCTTCACCCCAATCCTTCTTCCTTTCAGCTGTGTGTTTCCATTGCTCTTTTCGAATATTGCTATCCGTACTAGCATGTACACACATCAACCACCACTGGCTATTTACTTCCTTGTCCTTGATGCATGCTAAGATGTACCAGTCCGTGTGGCTTAATTCATCAATTGTCACCCCATTGTTCCAATATAAAGCCATACCTCCTGCCTTCCCAATTGAGTTAACAACATACCCCTTCTCAAAACTTATTTTCCTTTGCACAGATCTCATAAATTTTTCTTGGTTTTTTGTCTCACTTAAAAACACCACATTAGGAGAGTGGAAGTTTAAAACTTCCTTTAGTTGGGGAATTGTCAAGGGGCCTCCTGCACCTCGACAATTCCACACCGCAACTTTCATTGACACCTTGGAGGCATAAGGGGTTAGCCTCCAATTCCCCAGTTTCTTTGCAGATGTTGCTCTCCAGTTTTTGAAACTTAGGTTTTGGTGTTTCCACTACGTCCTCTTCCATTTGTTGAGACTCTTGTTGAAATGCTGCTGCTTTCCTTTTCCCTCGTAGGTCCTTGCCTACATCCTGAACTTTACTCTCCGGTAGAGTAATCCTTCCTCTTCTGACTTTCCTAGTGCCATGTTTTTTTCCTTCCTGCTT